AAAGATGAAGAAACTAAGGCTACTCAAAGTCAATAATGCTTGTGTTTCTCTCTGCTCGAATTGCATACCGAATGAGATACGCTGGCTTGACTGGCATGGATACCCTTCAAAATCCCTTCCAGAGAGTTTCCAAGCCGAAAAACTGGTAGGACTCAAGCTACAATATAGCCGCATCATACAACTGTGGAAAGGGATAAAGGTACCATCTTGAACTCCGATTTATTGTTGTTTCCTAATGTATCTTGCTTGAACCTATATGATGTCTTTTTCTTCCCCTTTTTTTCTGTCATTTTCTTCATTTTGCCAAAAACCTTCTGGCAGTTGCTGGACAAATTGAAATACATGAACCTGAGCTATTCCCAGAAGTTAATAAGGACTCCAGATTTCACAGGGATACCAAATCTCGAGAGATTGATCCTTGAAGGTTGTTCAAGTCTTGCTGAGATACACCCTTCAGCTGGGTTTCTGAAAAGGCTTCAAAAATTCAATCTGAGGAATTGCACAAATCTTAGGAGCCTTCCAAAAAAAATTGTCTTGGAAAGTCTCGAAGTAATGATTCTCTCAGGATGTTCAAAAGTTGGAGAATTTCCAGAAATCTTGGGTACTATGTAGGGGTGGGCAAAATTATTCGCTAACCCGAAAACCCGTCATATCCGACTCGATCCGATCCGAAAATTAGGATATCCGATTTTTATTATTTGATCGGGTCAAAAGAGGGTCGGGTATCCGCTAAGATGCGGAGCGGATTAGGGTCACATAATTAAAAACCCGCGGGTACCCGATCCGCCCCGCATATATATATATATATATATATTTTTTATTTTTATTTTTATACACACATTATAAAATAATAAGTTAGAACTAAATAAATAATTTTATTGAACAAATTACATTACAAATATGAGAGACTATAGTTTATTTACAAGATTCATTTGTAAAGGCCATGATCTTATATTTTATAGAAAAAAGTTCAATTAATGTGGAACATATATATTAAAAATTGTGCTACTTATTTCAAACTTTTATTGATTTTGAATTCTTTTAATTTTTTTCCTTTATCTTATATTCTCTTCATATGCTTGTTTCTTGGTGGGAAACCTTTTTTTAGAAAAAAAAATTATTAAATCTTAGATGAATGTGTAAAATATAAAATTTAATTGGTATAAATCATTTTTTTTAAAAAATTAAATGATAAACGGGTCGGGACGGGTATCCGCTGATCCGACTCTATCTCAACGGGTACCCGCTGATATTCGGGGCGGGTAAGGGTCAGAAAATGGCTGATCCGCAAAGTGCGGGTCGGGTCAGCCAAATGGTGAATGGGGCGAGTACCCGACCCGCGCCCACCCCTAGTACGATGGAGCATTTAAAAGCGGTGTATTTGGACGCTACAGCCATAAAAGAACTACCACCATCAATTGAGCACCTTACAAGCCTTGTTTTGTTGAATCTAAGGGGCTTTGAAAGTCTCGCAAGTCTGCCAAGTGGCCTCTGCAGATTGAAATGTCTTGAAACTCTTATTCTTTCTGGCTGCTCAAAACTTGACAAGTTACCAGAAGAGCTAGGGCATGTACTGAGCTTAGAAGAGCTTTATGTTGATGGAACTGCCATCTCCAATCCACCATCCTCAATCGTACTTTTGAAAAACCTAAAAACATTTGTGAAGTGATGTATGTTTGGATAAGAGTTTATTTGCATGATTTATTTGAGATAATTACTGTAGCACTTTTTGTGATGTGATGTATATGAGATAAGAACGTAGTTGAAATTTGTGAAGTAAATTTTTTTATTTGAAATCAACCCAATCCAAACAAACTCAAGCAATGACATCTCGTAAATGTAGAGCATCCTTGCCCTCTTGGTTGCTGGGTCAAAAAAGTCAAGATTCAACTGGCTTGGTTTTTCCATCTGTTTCAGGATTAAATTCCCTAGCAAAACTAGATCTTAGTTACTGCAATCTGTCAGACGAAGGATTACCTTGCGATTTAGGGAGCTTATCCTCCCTAGTAGAATTAAATCTTGGCAAGAACAACTTTACAAGTGTCTCTGGTGCAGGTATCAAGAACCTCAGTCACCTTCGAATCCTTGAATTAGTTGGCTGCAAGAGACTTGAGAAACTTCCAGAGCTTCCACTTTGTATAGAACAAGTGTATGCAGATGATTGTACATCATTGCAGAGTGCAACTGATCTGACAAACCATGGGAGGTTATGCAGGGTTTCATTCTATAATTGTTTCAAGCTGCTTCAGGATGAACAAACTTCCAGCATGATACATGCAACCTGGAATCACATGCGGAAGGTATTTTCTTTTTTACAATATACATACCAACTCTCGGCGTCCACAAAAAACTTTTTGAAACAGAGGGACTACTAGTTTAGATGTGCTTCACAAACTAAAACTTTTTGTTATGTTACTGAGAGAGAGGCCTAATATTTTGCCGTGTAGGAATTTCCACCTGTAGGTTATGGCCCGAGAGGTTGTAGCTTTAGCATCTGTCTTCCTGGAGGGAGCATTCCATCCTGGTTCACCTACCAGAATTCAGGGCCTTCAATAACAGTTAAACTTCCTCCAAATTGGTACAACGATGAGTTCATGGGATTCGCAGTTTGTGTTGTTTCTGATTTGATAGAGAGCCCATATTTTTCGAGAACAATACGGTGTGATCTTCTACAGAAAGTTAAAGGTTTTTTTCTCTCGTTTACTCTCGTAGATCAGGAGATGAAGCGCTATCGCCACGTAGGCCCCTTAGGTTATTTGGGAACTGAAAACATTGATTCAGAACATACTTGGCTAGGATATCTTCCATTGGATAATATCTGGTCTTCGGATAGATATTGGGTACCCAGCCCAAATGATTGGACTTCCATTGAAGTGTCTGGTTATATTGCTGTTTTCAAAGCATGGGGAATCAGTCTTGTATACGAGAACGATGTTAGGCAGAATTCCGAACTTTTGATGACCCCCCAAAGCTCTGAGTTGTGATTGTCAGGGGATTGAAATCCAGCGGAAGGAGAAGACGAGATCTTGAAGATTTTCCAATAAAAAATTTTTATGGATCGAGGAACCCGCAGTTCGGACACACGTCTTCGCTCTCCGTGTATTTCCCACAGTAGTGTGTGGTCTTGAAAGAATACACGTCGTGGATGCTGATCTTTCTGTCGTCTCAGGCTCTTGGTCGGTCACCTTTAAAAGATTGCTTTACCGCCAATCTTTATTTATCGATTCCGATGAAAAAGAATCAGTATTCGTTAAACTAATTGAAATGTAATTGGAGCCAAAACGATGTAGTTTCAGTAGTAGCTTTAGTTGGGATGGTTAAGTCGGTTAATGACCAGCTGCGAGAACTGTTATGGTTTGTTAGAAACAGTGGTAGGACCCACATTTGACAATAACAGATTTTGTTCATTAGATTCTCTCTCTATATTTCCTCACTCTAATCTCTCTCCTTCCCTTTCTTCTCTCTTTCTCTCTTTTCATCTGGAAGTGGAAAGGCCATCTGCACGGCCTGATTGAGGAATTCCGCTTGACTTCCTCACATCTTGATAGTTATCATTAGTATTAATTATGTCAATAAGATCATCATTGTGTCTAGAAAACATGGTTGCTTCTAGTGTGCAAGGTGCGAATTTCTTCCTACCATGGGCAGAACCACTACAATCACAACAACTCAGCCTGGGACCATTGTGAAAAGCTTACGAGTCCACATAGGCTTTGGCAACCGGTAGGCAATCATAGGACTATTAATCCTAGGACTATTAATCATATTCAGCTTCGTTTTTCATAATGTGCGTGCAATCAAAAAATAGATAATATATTTTAAATAAAACTTTTATTATTGAAACAAACTTTAATGTTTTAAATAAGTTTCATAAAATAATTTATATTAGTAGTTATAATATTTAGGGGTAGTTATGTTAAAAACATATACTTAAATAGTTAGAAGTAAAAGTAGCGATGAGTAGTTATAGATAGTTAAAGTAAAATTAGTTTTTATAAGGATAAAAAAAGTTCATAAAATGTTAACTCCAAATTCCTTCCTCAAATTTTATATATAGTATAGATAACAATGCACCTACATTCACTAAGTATTCTATTATACTAAAATGTATCTATATTTACACAATCTTCATATTTGTTGTCCCTTCTTCTTTTTTTTCCCATTTTTTTAAAGCAATTTATCCAAATTTTGCCATTCAATTTTTTTAATTCTGTTCATTAGTTCAAAAGCGATTTTTCTTTATTGCATTTACCCTTGGTAAGTTAAAAGCCCATAAATGTATTTATGTGTACTCCAATCTTAAGGATTAAATTTAATTGTTAGTTCACGTAGATGAATAATTATATACATAAATAAATAAAAGGAATTAATTTGTATAAAAGGAATTAATTTGTGCCAATAATAATCAAAAAATAAGAGTGCATTTTCTCGAAAGACAAATTGCAAAATCCACCTGTTGCCTAGCTGATCCCAGTTGTTGTCCGAGTTCAAATGCATGTTCATCTCCACTCCTCACCCGAGCTGTGCTTACCTATTAAATTTTATTAATATTGAAAAATATATATAAAGATTAAAAGGGGGGAGAGGGCAGGGACGGAGCCAGAAATTTATTTTTGGGGGGGCTGAAGTGTATTAAAATTTTTTTTTTTGTGACGAAATAAATATATTTAGTAAGTAAAATTTAGATTCAATAATTATAAAAATAATAAAAACATATAATTATACATACCCAAAAATTTGTTATTGATTAACACTTGAAGTATTGGTAGTTGTTGCACTCGAATAACGAAGAGGAGGCAATTGCATTCTGCGAGTCTTCATCCGTTAAAAACGCTGCAATATTTGCTCATTTTCAATTGTTGCAAAAATATCCTTCTCGATGTATACAACCAGACAGTCATTCATCCACTCGTCTCCCATTTTGTTGCGCAAATCAGTCTTGACAATATTCATTGCAGAAAATACTCTTTCAACAGAAGCAGTCGCAATTGGTAGAACTAATGCCAACTGGATCAGACGATAAACCAATGGAAGTTTGTAAAAGACCATCATGTATTTCCAATCATTTCAAGCTTCCAAAAGCTTGCATCAAAAAAGGGCAAGCGAATTACGCTTACACCACTGCTTATTCAAGAAGAGAACTATCAGTAAAAGCATGCAGTCCTAGTAGCAGTGGCGGAGAGAAAAAGACTGCAAGGCGTAGCTTCTTGTCTCTAGAAGAAGCGGGTTTAGTGGAAGTATCCGGCCTCAGCCCTCATGAGCGTTTTCTATGTCGGTTAACGGTATGCTTCTTCTCTTGGTACAATTACGCAAAAGTTAAAAAGCAAAAAAAAAAAAAAAAAAGGGGTGTCCATACGATTCATTTAATCTGAGCTCTGAGTGTTTTAAGTTTTAGCAGTAATTTATTTAGTTTACAAATGAAATGGTGCAGGTATCGTCACTGAATCTGCTAAAAGTGATAGCAGAGCAGGAAGGGTGTGCGATTGAGGAGCTGAATGCGGGGAGAGTTTGTGATTGGTTTTTAAAAGACAAGCTGAAGAGGGAGCAGAATTTGGAGTCTGCGGTCCTGCAATGGGCTGGCCGCCGGAATCCCCTATATATAGGGGGTTTTCCGGCTGCTTGGGGGGGCTTAAGCCCCCACCAGCCCCCCCTTAAATCCGTGGCTGGGAGAGGGAGTGAGAGAGAGAGAGAGGTCATTTTTTTTTCAAAAAATAGAAATAAGAAAGAATTAAATATTTTTATTATTTTAAAATCATTTTACTTTTTTGTTTATCACTCAATTCCAATCCTAATACCGACAACTTTAAAGTAATACGATAATGTTAGAATCTTCTTTATTTTCTTTCTTTGCAAAATCTAATTTTCTGTTTTCTTCTTTCCTATCTCTTTTTCTTTTCGTAGTATTAATAAGTGTGAAAAATAAATTTGAAAAAATTTAGTTTTATGTTTTGGGATCTTTTAAAGTGAAAAAAAATGATGACTAACCATTCCAACTTTTTTATTTTTAATTATATATAAAAAAGGTAAATGCATTTAAAATTTTTTTTACTATACTAGTTAGATTAACAACGAGGTAAAATGCCTAGAAAATAATGTTAGGGATTAAAGCGACTGTATCACTATAATTTAAAGAAATAAAATAACAATAATAATTAATAATGCTATAGAATAAAAGGGTATTTTTGTTCAAGATTTATTGACATGTTGAGTTAAATTATTTATAGGGTTAAATGACCAAAAGATCATGTTAAGGGGTAAACTGATAATAGTGATATAGTTTAAGGGAGGTAAAGTGATAATAACCCTTTTAATTACTTGCATACGCTTATAAATGTCATGTACACCAGTATAATATTAAATTAAAAAAAATACTAGAACAAATTGAAAGAGTGAAGAAAATTTTGAAGAAAAAGAAGTAGGAAAAAGGGAAAAAATGTAAAAGGTATACGTGTATTTTTTTAGTTACTACCAAACATTTCATGGGTTCAACAAAAACCCATTATCATTAACTAATAATAGTGAGAGTGAATAATAAACTTTCAGTAAATAATTAGTTTTAGATTAGTTTTAGTTACTTGGTTCAGCAATAAAGTTGGCCATCATAAGAGAAATTGAAGGAATTTTTCACAACCATATGCACAGAAATTAAATATTATTAAAATTAGAAAATGATGGCATCGGATTCATGTTTTGAGAAAAGAAATTTGGCATTTAATGTCTTATTGTCTCTTGATTCTTTATGTTCCCCTAATTGAGCATTTACCTAGATGATGATTAATTTATCAACCCAATCTAATGCATAGACATATATGCAATTTAGTCCTTTAGAAAGTCCTTCAAAAAAAAAAGCCCTTTAGAAAGTCCCACGTTCCTCTGCTACGTAATTCACCTATGATTACCTACCGGTTGCCAAAGCCTATGTGGACTCGTAAGCTTTTCACAATGGTCCCAGGCTGAGTTGTTGTGATTGTAGTGGTTCTGCCCACCGTGCATAGGCAGGTCAGCTTTCCACCATAGATGGAACCTAGAAAACATATAGTTTAAACATTGTTTAGAAGTTTGCAATAATGTTATTTATTTCCATTTTTAGTTTAAACATTTGTGGTGTATAAATATGCATAGCATTAGGGCTATTGTAATCAAAAACTGTTTTATAAAGTAAATTCTCTTCTATATTTTATAAAATAAACTCTCTTCTATCTTGGGAAGTGTTCGGAGCCCAAATTTCCATTATTGCTGAAGCTTCTTCTACTTCTGGCTGGGATGTTCCCAAAACTGCCAATGGGTAAAGTCACTAGCTTTCTTCTTTAAAAATTTGAACTAGCATCCCTTCTTTTTGGGCCAATAGCTGGCTATTTGGTTATGATTTTTTAATTGCAATAAGGCGTTAGATTTTTTTTTTGTTTGGTATTTTTTTCCTCAAGGTCATCGATCCTTTTGTTGGTGAACTTTTTCCTGGTTCACTCCTCTCTCAATTTGGTGGTTTTAGGTGAAGTGTTAATGATCTTGGTTAAAAGAAATTAGATCTGAGTTTGACTTGACCAATCCCATGATTGCGAAACTGCTACTGATCCATAAATCAAGCACCGCAGAGGATATATATATATATATATATATATATATGTATATAGACACACATACACATATTTTTCCTCCAAGTATTCAATTTTCTCAGTGTGGTTGGGAAAGCAGAAAAAAATAAAAGTTCTGTACCATTAACTGATAAATAACTGGCTGGATGGTGTTGGTTTGTGGGTCTCCCTTAGATTAGTCTCTGACTCAATTTGACGATGACTCTCTGAGCGTTTCTAATCTAATTGTGTGTGTGTTTCTTCTGTCTATGAAAAAAAAAATTAACTGATAAATAATTACATCGATTTTTGTATGAAACCAATAATGTGTGTCTCAGAAAAAGACAAAATTGTACACAGGGTTCAGCAATAAAGAATAGTGACAACCACAAAAATGTTTGGTATCTTGTCTTTTCGATTGGTGCTAGTTCCAACTTGAAATTGATCACCTGTTTTCATGCAAACTACCGGTAATGGAGCCCAGAGGCGTGGATGATTGTGCTAGTTTTTGTCAAAAGTATAATCTATTAACATGAAGTGTCTAACGCCTGAAATTTTCCCAAAGCAGCTGTAAGTGTTTGGACATGAGTTTATTTGTATGATTTATTTGAAATAATTACTATAACACTTTTTATGATATGATGTATATGAGATAAAAAGGTGATTGGAAAGATAAAAAGGTAATTGAAATTTGTGAAGTAAATTATTTTATTTCAAATCTTCTCAATCCAAACACTTTTTTTTTCTTTTTGGTTGAATTTTTGTTACATGCATTAGCACGTTTTCATAGAACGTACTCTATACTTGCTTGTCACACCTGAATTTCTGTAGCACGTCATTTTGTGTGAAAGAGGGGCAGGAAAGGTTCCTGGCAATTCACGGCCAAGATTTGGCCAAAAAAAAATTGTACGGTCTAGATTTCATCTAGTATCTCTATTTTAATAACATGTGTGGAATCCACAAAATTTTATTCTAAAGTTAGAGGTTGTTGAAAGTAAGTCACACCATATGCAAACAAAGTTACGTCGTTTGCAAAATGTACATAATTGCTAGGAACGGTTGCAACACCTACAACCGTTCCTATCCCTGTTCCATTGCAACCGTTCCTGCCCCTGGTCTATTTTGTGTTTTGTCGGATGTATGTCAATAAAATTGCCATCAGTTTTAACATTCTCAATGAACCGAGCAAAATTATTGTTTTATCATCATTTTTTTAAAAAAAATTAAATGTATCTCTTTTTTAGCTTGCATTTTAAGCTGACATGTTGTTCCAAGCTTTAGCTCTGCATATAATCAAAATTAGTATCATGTGAATATATTCATGCTTTCACTCTGGCAGAATTTGTCTTTTCAACATTTCATTTTAGTTTTAGAAGGATCCTTGCCTTCATTCTTGAGTTTATTGACTCATGTCATTTCTTTCTAACTAGATAGGTATAAGGTTATGAAACAGAAATGAAGAAATAACTAATTCTGACCTAAACATTTTCTGTACTTTTATTGATGTCTGCATTCCTATTAGGAGTTAATTAATTGTACACAAAAGAAGATAAGTAGCAACCAGGCGACTCAAGTCCGATTGTCATATCATGTCAAACTTAGGATGCCAAAAAATTGAATCCTTCTCATTTTACCACATGAAATTGTTTTAAGAACTTAGTAAGTTCAGAGGCGTAATGAGCAATAAGACCATATTTGACCCCTAAACCAGTGCATAATGAGTAAGTCAAAAACTATTCTTCTGTATTCTTCAACAGGTCAAACACTATCATCTGTCATCCTTGGTCTTTATCAGTATACAATTTGTGATTCCGAGGCCACCATAAGTATTGTATCAAAAATAAATATTGATAACGTATAAATGATGACAAACAATGATGTTGCTTAGTACTCCAGCATCCATTACATTGAAGTATCTATCTATCATATTGGGGTATCTGCTCATTTATTAGTGTTTCTTCCAAATGAGCATTTGTTAGATGTATCTATTTTGAGAATATGGTTGATAAATGCATCTCCTCTTGCATGATTTTTTATCACCTTTTATTTTCCCTTTTCATGCATAGGCATGAGTCTAAATGCATCCAAGAAATTCTCGAAGATGTGATGGCTAAATTGGGAAGAATCGTAGCAATTGAAGAAAAAAACCAAGTCGGCATTGATTCTCAAGTTCAGAAAGTAAATGCATTGCTGAATTTGATGGGGTACACTTTCTGGGGATTTGGGGAATGAGTGGAGTAGGTAAAACAACCATAGCAAGGGCTGTTTTTCACCGAATATCCACTCATTTTGAAGGTGCCATCTGTCTCCATGAAGTTAGAGAACAATCAAAAAGTCTGGAAAATTTGCAAGAGAAGATTCTTTCAAAAATTCTTTGCTTAAAAGATTTGAGAATCAGCAGTGTTTCTGAAGGTTCAAATATGATTCAGAGATGACTGTGCTGTAAAAAAGCCCTTATTGTTCTTGATGATGTTGACCACCTAGACCAATTAGATGCCTTAGTTGGAAAGCATCAGTGGTTCGGTGATGGTAGTAGAATCATCATAACCACAAAAAATAAGCATTTGCTTGTCACACGTGAAGCAGATAGAATTTACAAGGTGGACGTGTTGAATGAATACGAAGCCATTCAGCCGTTTAGTTGGCACGCTTTTAAGGAGGACTATCCTGCAAAAGATTATGAGGAGCTTTCGATTGAAATAGTGCATTATGCAGGTTGCCTTCCCTTAGCCAATGTTTTAAAAATTGGACCGTTAATTGAACCGATGAAATAAAAGGGTCGAGGTTCAACCGGTCGAACCGGTTTAACTTTGGTTCAATGAATTTTTTAAAAAATAATTTATATAAATATATATATGCATAAAATAAGACATGTAATGGACTAATTTAATACTTTACATGATGAAAAGTTTACTATTTTTGAATAACTTGGATTTTTAAAAAAAAATTATTTATTTTTGAATTATAAGTTAAAACAAATAAATTTCATCTCAATTTCAATTATATCTACCAAAAAATCTTAAATCCAACCCAAAAATATCACAATATTTTGAAATTATACAAAATTCACGTCTATCAGAATTTAGACATTGTGAACTTAAATTTTAATTTATGTTTTGAGATTTAGATATTGTAATTTAAAAAAGAAAGTTTGGAGTTCGAAAGAAATCAAGAGAATCGAAAATAGAAATGCAAACTTGATAAGAAACAAAAAATGAGATAAAATTAAGTGGTTGTGGCATTAAATAATTTGGGTTAAAAAAATAATTCTTTTTAACTTTTTTAATTTAATGGACAAAAGTAAAATTAAAAGATGTAAGAAAACATCAATAAATTAAAAATAAAGATGTTTGATTAAAAAGGGAGTGACAAAAGAAAAGAGGCGAGAGAGAGAGAGTGTGTGTGTGTGTGAGTTGAAGATTAAAAAGAAAGAGCCATGAAAGGATGAGATTTTATAAAAAAAATGGAAAAAAGAAATATGAGTGTTTGTTTTACATAAATAAGTTATAAAAAAAATTAATAAGATGTGATAGTGCAACGGCCACTATATTGGTCTTCTATTACAAAGGTCATGAGTTCGAATCTTGAAAGCTACATTTTGCAAAACGTAAAAAAAAAAAAAAAAAAAAAAAAAAGAGGAAAACTCGAAAATAAAAAAAAATCGGTTCAATCCGGTTTTGACGGTTTCACGGTTGGACCGGTTTTTGATCGGTTTTCTAGCATGGTCAACCCTAACATAGAACCGAACCGGTGCCATGGCCGGTTTGCGGTTCAATCGGTCGAACCGGCCGGTCCGGTTCGGTTTTCAAAACATTGCCCTTAGCTCTAAAAGTTTTAGGTAGCTTTCTGTATGGCAGAGACATGGCTGAATGGAGAAGTGAAATTATGGAAAAGCTCAAAGTAAGTTTTAATGGACTCAAAAAAGTTAAAAAAGAAATTTTCTTGGATATTGCATGTTTCTTTAAAGGGAAGAAGAAAGACCACATCAGAAGAGTACTTAATAGTTTCAATTTCTATCCTGATATAGGCATAAAGGCTCTCATCGACAAATCTCTGGTAACTGTTTCTGGAGGAAGGATTCTGATGCATTGTCTAATACAAGATATGGGTTGGCATATTGTTCACCAAAAGGCTCCAGAAGGGCCAGGAAAACATAGCAGGCTATGGGCAGCAGAGGAAATTTGTGACGCTTTGGCTAGAAACAAGGTAAGTGATCTCATTCCACCTAGAAAAATATTTCAATTATATTTCTCGAATATGTTGTTTATGCAATCTCTCCTTTTCTTCTCCTGCTAACGTGTTTCCTGGCCGGCGGCAGAAAATGTTGGACTTGTCTACCCCAAAAGACGTTGTAATTAAGAATGAAGCCTTTGAAAAGACGAAGAAACTAAGGCTAATCAAAATCAATAATGCTTCTGTTTCTCACTGCCCAAATTGCATACCGAATGAGATACAGTGGCTTAACTGGCATGGATACCCTTCCAGAGAGTTTCCAACCTGAAAAACTTGTAGGACTCAAGCTACAGTATAGCCACGTCATACAATTACGGAAGGGGATAAAGGTATCATCTTAAACTTGGATTTATTGTTGTTTCCTAATGAATCTTGCTTGAACCCATATGATGTCTTTTCTTTTTCCCTTTTTTCCTGTCATTTCTTCATTTTGCCAAAAACCTTTTGACAGTTGCCAATAAAAGAACTACCACTATCAATTGAGC